TAATGGGTTTAAGTAAAAATCCGACTTTCGTGTTCTTCGCTTATTCTAGTACCTTATTTACATAGCAATTCTAATATATACGCAATCAATAATCATCGTAACCTGTAATACTTCCCCGCGCTATTTGACTCTCAATATTATCGTCAAGCCCAGATTCGCTATTATAAGAACGAATAGTAATCGATAATGATAAATGGTAGTCAAAATAGTATTATTGTAGATGGTTCGATTACGTGTAATCGAGCGATTTTAATGAGGTTGAAGTTTCGAATACGCCAAGACTCTTAACGCACGGACCAATAAGGTCGAAAAGTACAAGAAAAGTATATCAAAAGTACCATTTTTACTATTTTAACTTAGCACAATACAGGAATACCAACTTGTAATTAAAATTCGATTAGTTGATTAGTATCAGAATCAATACGGTGCATCTTTTTATACAAAAATAATCACTATATAATAGTTGGTTGATTTTCTATCCATTAAAAAGGAGCAAATTTTACTGTCGCGCCTTGGTGGTGCCGACTTGCTACAGCAAGTCGGTCAATTCTTTCGAATTAAATTTAAGGAAACCGACGATTACCGAGAAATATCATAGCATCGAAATTTATCAAATTATTATTAAAAAGATTCCATTTGAAAAAACAGTTTTTATTCACGATTGTATACTTATTCAAATTTTCATCGAATTATTCAAGTTTTTGGGAAACAAGCTTATTAGTAAGCTTATTTTCAAAATCTGGACGGCGACGGGCTAATAATCAGTGCACTGACTTTGTAACCTGCGGGCTCTCGGTCACAGTCAGGGCGAGCAAGTGTCCCATTTTAATTATTTCAACTTATATTGAAAAAGCTTAGCAACGAATAATGCTATAATATTCAAAACTAAATGCATAGATCGGCGTAATCGAGATCTTTAAGAGTCTAACTAAGTATGAAATATTTTTATTAATAATTTAATAAGAAATAAAGTGAATAAGATTTAATTATGAATTGAATTTGATTGAAAATCAAATATTTTATATTGAAAATTTCATATTTTCTAATCTTAATCGTATTTTATATTGAATTTTAATATAAAAATTTGATATTAAAAAAATTCTTAATTAAGCGGACTCGTACAGTTTTTTTTTATTATGATAGCTTTTATAATCAGTATTTTATTCAAGTTATAAATATAATCGAAAAGTTGATGTTCTTGAATTTCCGCTAAATTGTTCGAGCTTTTTTCGCTATTACAATTGTAGTTTTTGCGAAATAAACATTATTTTACTTCTTTTAATAATAAAACTATATAACATTTTCTATACATAAAGTATAAATCACTTATCTCGATTTGTACACCTAATTTTTTTTTAGTACAGCTTTTTTGGTTATTGACTTATTTTTAATACAAATCGCGATTTTCGATTCTTTTCGAAAAAGAATTAAAAACTTTTTTTCTTTTACGATTTGCAACTTAAATTACTTGATGATGAAAAGAGCTATATTAATGAAAATTGAATGCGTTGATCGGCGGAATCGAGCTCTTTAAAAGTATTAAATTTTTAATATCATAGCTTTATTCGTTGCTAAGTTAATTCTAATACAAGTCGAAATGGGACACTTGCTTGACCTGGGACACTTGCTTGCCCTGACTGTGACCGAGAGCCCGCAGGTTACAAAGTCAGTGAGTGCACTGACTATTATAAGACGGCTGTAAGATGGTCTCAAGCTCGGGGCCTATCAAGAAAGTAAACTATTTCTGATTTATAAGTAATATTTATTTTAAACAGTCCAATTACCGTTTTTCATTAAGAAGTTCAGAGGATCGCTTAAATAACCCTTACCTGCCTTTTAAGGTAGTTGTTATTGTTGTTGTATTTATTAACCTAGGGCGGGTATCTAAAACGCAATGCTTGGACCCTAGGACCTCCCGTAAAGTACGGCGACGTGCTAAGTAGAGGAATTGTATACAAAGTACTATAACCTTTGTAACCTCTAAAAGCAATTCAAGTTGGTATGGCGCAGCTGTTATCGATTGTGCCCTTCCTTTACGGATAAGATAGATCGCAGAAAAGATATAATACATTTTCGCCGAAAGAAAACTTTGAAGGCAAATTATAGCGTAAGTAAAGTATATCGGTGCCGATTTTCGAAATAACTCGAGGCCGGACCGGAGTCAATTTCATGGCCTTTGCGAAGACGCAATATCGTAGATCGTCTTGAATCCTCTTCTATCTCTTTCACCTCGTTCCCCTTCTATCGCAAATCCTTTCAGTATTTTCAATCGGTATGCTCGTCAAAGTATAGATCGTAGTCGGCGTGGTAGTCGAGATAGAAAGAGGGGGCTCGTTCGGACGACCGGTAATAAAAAATCTCGAAAATGCCACCTTGATTCGATTTCGGCTCTCCAGACTCTCTTTGCCGCAAGAAAGAAGGCTAAAAGTTCGTAGAGGGAACCTCGTACAGGTAATGAATCGTAGCCCCCCCCCCTTTGCCTTTTCCAACAACGGAATACTAAAAGTACCAATTTTACTACTTTAACCCGGCACAATGAAGGAATAACTATTTGTAATAAAAATTTGATTGATTGATTAATATCAACCTCGATACGGTGCATTTTTATACACAGAAATAATTACGAGATAGTAGTTGGTTGATTTTCTAATCATTGTAAAAGAGCAGATTTTACTTTCCAGCCCAAGTAGGTGTCCCGCCTTGGTAGTGCCGACTTGCTATAGCAAGTCGGTCAACTCTTTCGAATTAAATTTAAGGTAACCGACGATTATAAATTGTATTATTATATAATAAAGAAGTTGAATATTAAATTCCGGTTCTGGTTATCTGCCATGGGGTATTGTAATTGAGTAATTAGCTCGTTGGTGACACTAAGGTACAGAGAACTTGGTCCTCTGCCTGGTAATCATCGTACTTCCTCTGACATTTTCGAGGACATCCTTCCGAGTGACACCGAACCGCCTCATTCTACTACGTCTGACGACGACCAGGCATGGCGATCAGATCCCTCGAAGGCGGCGCGCCGACAGCTGGCGATGACTTCTGCTCGCTTAAACAAGGAAAAAAGCACCCGCTGTCAGGCTTTTCGAACATTCTATGTCTCGATACCCTACGGTCCCTACCGATCATACCAGGCTACGAAGCGGCACTTCTCACATCCCCACGATTCATGATATCGTGCAGCTCCCGAATCTTTGCATTATCCTTTTCTTCCGATCGAGGTCCTATGCGACAGCACCATTCCAGCTTTCAACGTCCCTTGATCGGAGTTCGAAGTTGGTCAAACCCACCCACCGCAATGGTTTGACGCGGCTGATCTACGTATTCAAAGAAACCCAGGCTCGGGGCTACAGGACTTCCTCGACCCGTTTGGTCGTGATGCGGGTAAGTTTCTCAGGGTAAGGGGGCTAGGCAGGTTGCGGCCAGCCCATCCTCAGCTCCAGATCCACGAGAGGACGGTGGCCATCATCGCGCGGTCAAGCAGCTCCGGAGTAGCGGCGTCAACCTTTGAACAGCGAACAATTGCTCGGCTTGCAAGACTCCGAGCGCTATTGATCCTTCCGTTGCTTGATCTCCGGAGGTCATGAGGAGCGAACAGTGGATACTCTCTTGCAGATCTCTTGCAGAGGTCAAAAAACCTCCCTGGAGCCCCAAAGCACAATCCTTTGCGAAGGTGCCATCGCGCTTGGTTTCGGAGATGGGTTTGGCCACCACGAGAGAAACGCGCCCGGTGAAATTGCGACCTCAGCCAGGAAACGGGCGGGCAGAATTCTCGATGGGCACCGCGGAAGAAATTCGAGAGACATTACACATAATGGAGACCTTCTAGCGAGAGTCTGGACCCCTATAGCGCTCCCGGCTCCGCATGCTATTCCAGATCTACGCGAAGTCGTTGAGGTAGGAGATTTCCGGGACGGCATCGAACGAGAGATTGCTTGTGAGTTGCGATAGAAACGCAGCAAGCACGGGCGACAAAGGGGTCTTTTCGTAAGAGTTCTTTTCTAGGAGATCTTGGAAAAAGAGGGGCCACAGGCCGAGCAAGATTACCATGGACTCTCTTGTTTTCTTTCATTGCGGGATCTCATATGCGCTTTAAGTCCTTCTTGAAAATAATAAACAAGCGAGCACTCAGGACGGTCGCATATCGTACTCTTTATCGCAGGCACACGACAGCCATCACGGCCAGCCCGAAGATCCCAAAAATAATGATCCAATGAAGGACCGATTATCTCTGCTGGTGGGGGGTTTCACGGCCCGTCAGAAACCCTATCCATGACCGTGCCTATACCTACCGGTACCGGTATACGTACTACGTATAAGTATCCATCGCCCTGATAAGCTCAGAGCAGAGAGCTTAGACCTGATAACAAGGAATTTATTGGATGGATTATTGCCAAATTCCATTGAGCAATGCCAAGCTTTCCAGGCTGATAAGGCGTAGATCCCATCGTTGCCAGACGTCAGTCAGCGTCGGCGCCGACATAGATATTGCTCGCCGGGAGATAAGAGATCATCTTGTTCCCTCTCTGGCTGGGCTGGGCTGGCTCTGATATCCTGCCGTGGCCACGAACTGGCTGAGACCGACTGACGGCAGGCACTGGAGAAGTACAATAGGTATAATAGGTGTTATCGGTGTAATTGGTGGTATGGATGTATATCTTTGTTATGAACGCCTCGATGGACCCCTCGCCTACTGATTGGCGAGTCGGCTATCAGCTCAGCTCAGCTCAGCTCAACTCCGCCCTTGCTCTTTTCCTCGTCGGTTCTCTTATCTTCGTATCCTCCTAGCTATCTAGCTATCTTTCTAGCTATCTTTCTAGCTATCTTTCTAGCTATCTAGCTAGTTGGCTGGCTAGTTACCGGTAGTTGCCTACGATAGGGAAGCCCTCCACACCCATGGTACAAAACTATCCTTCGTCTCCACCGTTTTGTCTTGTTTTGTTTGGTTTGGCCGTCCGCACTCATCCACAGCATTCATCATCGTCAACCACCTAGGTACCATGGCATCGCACAACAAGATCTTCTCGTACGACGAGAAGGCCTCCAGCCCCTCGCCATCCACCATCGAGCCGGCTCAGGTCGGCCAGGTCGCGACTCGCAGGCGGGTGCCCTTCAACTTCAGCCTCCGCGTTGCGCAAGAAGAGAGCAGTTTTGCTACCACCAAGTCCGCCTCCAATGCCGATTTCGATCCCATTCCCCCATCCAAGCGAACCTGGGGACCGGGAGCCTTTGTGGCTTACTGGATGGCTGATGCCTGGGCGGTCTCAAATTGGGAAGTTGGTATGTTGGTCCCGTCTCTCGTGAATCGTGATGGCCGCGTGACATTGTCACCGTGTTGCGTTGCTTTGTCGAGGGGACAAATAGGACGAGATATGAGAAATATCCATATCAATATCAATATCAATCTACCAGTCCGATGCTGACTCCAGGTGGGCAGCTTCGTCGATGCTTGCGGTCGGTCTCAGCTGGAGGATGGCCATTGGCGCTTGTGTGCTCGGGAACTTCGTGATGGGTCTGGTCATCACCATCAACGGCAGGATTGGGGCGACCCTCCATACACCTTTCCCGATTCTTGCCCGAGTCCCCTTTGGTTATTACTTTGCTCAGTTCGTCGTGCTGTCTCGCTGTGTTCTTGCCGTCGTCTGGCTCGGGGTCCAGACGACCACCGGTGGCCAATGCATGGTCGTCTTGTTGACTGCCATCTGGCCCAGCTACAAGAATATCCCCAACCACATACCCGAGAGCGAGGGCATCAGCACCGGTGGCATGATCGGCTTCCTGCTGTACTTCCTGCTCCAGGTGCCCTTCCTCTGCATTCCCTACACCAAGGTGCAGTACTTCTTCGCCTTCAAGTCGGTCATTGCCCCCATCGTCTTCCTGGCCATCTTCGGAAGCACCCTCCACAAGGCCGGCGGCACCATTTCCAATAGTCCAGTCATCACTCAAGGCCCGACCGCACACGGCTCTGCTCTCGCCTGGGCGTTCTTCTCCAATCTCAATGGCGTGTTGGGAAACTATGCCACTCTCGGTTTGAACATTGCCGACTTTTCACGATACGCCAACAGGCCCAGCGCGCCCAACGTCCAGGTCATCGTCATCCCATTCATCTTCACCATCGTTGGCCTCCTCGGCATCTTCACGGCCGCCGCCTCGCTCTCGGCCTACGACGTGGACGTCACCAATGGCGAACCCCTCTGGAACCCCATCGACATCATCGCCCTATGGATGGAGTCAGGCTCCACGGGTGGCCGCGCAGCCGCCGCATTCGCCGCCATCGGGCTCATCATCGTCACCCTCGGGATTAACATCTCGGCGAACTCCATCTCCGCCGCCAACGACCTCATGTCCTTCTGCCCGGCCTACATCAACATCCGGCGAGGCCAGCTCCTCGCGGCCGTGCTCGGCTCCTGGGCCTTCGTGCCCTGGAAGATCCTCGCGTCGGCGGCCACCTTCCTCGCCTTCCTCGGCGGCTACACCATCTTCCTCGGGCCCATGACCTCCATCATCATCTGCGACTACTACCTCGTCCGGCGCGGCAACGTGTCCGTGCCGGACATGTACAACTTCCACGGCATGTACCGCTACTCCCCCAGGTACGCGTCCAACTGGCGCGCCGTCGTCGCCTTCGTCATCGGCTGCATCCCCCCGCTCCCGGGATTCGTCGACAGCATCGTCGCCGCCGGGAATGGGACGACCTCCGTCTCGATGGGGGGTCGACACCTGTAAGCCTGCCTGCCCCCCCCCCCCCCCCCCCTTCCTTTATCGTCCACTCCCCATCCATCTCCCCTCTCGGAAAAACTCAAAAACTTAACTCAACCCAACACAACCAACTGATACTAACCCCCTCCCCCTCCTCGTCTTTAGTTTCGGCATCGGATACCTCTACTCCTTCACCCTCGCCGGCCTCTCCTACTACCTCTTCAACCGCCTCTCCCCGCACCACCCCTCCGCCATGGACTACCCCGAAACCGGCGAGGACCGCATCGCCGCCCAGGACGCCAAGAACCTCGCCGCGAAGCAGCAGCAGCAGCAGCAGCGGCGGCGGCGGTCCGGCCTCCTCGCTAAGCTGTTTGAGGTCTGAGATCATCTGAATCATCAGACTGGGGGTTTTGAAGGGTGGGTTTTTTTTCTCGCTTATTTTATTGTTGCTGTTGTTGTTGTTGTTGTTGTTGTTGTTGTTGTTATTCGCTTAGCAATGTAAAGGTAACCTACAATATTAACGAGAGGCGCCCCCCTTTTTTTTTTTCGTGGTAGGGGGGGTAGGGGCTTTTTGCTTTTCTTTGCTTTGATTTACTTTGCTTTACTTTATAAGAAATACCTAGATTGGATTCGGATATGGATCGGATTGGAAAGGATTGAAAAGGAAAGGAAAGGAGTTGTTGGATTGGATTGGGTTAGGTCAGGTTAGGTTGTTGGGATTTTCATGTATGTTTATATATATATATATGTATGTGAGTGAGTGTGTGTGTGTGTATTTTTCTTACCTTTTCTTATATACGGATAGGTAGGTAGGGTATATATACATCATACATCTTGCACATAACATCGTGTACAATTTTGATAATCTGCATATTCTCTATCACCAATAATATCTCACATTCCCCAAACTCGCAAAGACTACCTACCTCTCCATTCCCTTCTACAAAGAAATACCTGACGTACCTAGCTCACTTAATATCAACATGAAGCTTCTTCGCTTCCCTTCGCTTCGTACCGTGCCGCTAGCTCTTCCATGCCGTCAGAACTTATGCCCGTGATATTTTGCTACCAAGAATTCTAGCCGCTACATACGTTCCCTTTTTTCTCAGCCCCTTCTTCTCAAGCCAAAACCTACACAACACAATCAATACATTCTGTCCCCGCAACCACCATCTCTATAACACTCTAATACCCGTGACATGGTCAGTGCCAAGCCAAAAAATTCCAGCAAAAAACAAAGCTCGATGATCATGAGCAGACCATACTCAATACCCGCTGACGGCTAAACTTCAGCATTCATCAAAATCCGCTTGTACTCTCCCCTTATCTGAAAAGATCCATCTTCATCTGCCCATCTCGACCGGTTGTTGTGGGACTCTCTTCGTAGGATGGAAATTCCGATTCTGAAATATTCAGTCCCAGACATGCGGCGCGGACTTGGAGACACTTACTGATGAATATCCTCTCCGTCTTCTCCAGCTTGACCATGGGATGCGGAATGTTCTCAAGCTTGCCGCTCCAGGTCGGTTCTGCAGCCGCCTTGTCTTCTTTTTCCTTCTTATCTGCTTTTGCCTTCTCGTCCATCCTAGCCTTCTGCTCCTGCAATGCGTTCTTGTATGCTTCTACATGGGAATATTGTTTCACCCATTTGTCTGGTTGAAGTCTTACCATGGGTGGGACACGATCTTCTGCTGTTGCACTGACCATCGGGTTGGTTCGTCTCTCCGCTCTCTCTATCGCATCCACTCGGGCCCTCATCTGAGCGTCAAGGTCCATGTTCGTAGTATTGGCATGGTTACGGGCTTCGGGAGTATCCGGCAGGCTTCGCTGTCCTAGGTAGGTAGGTGCATGAGTGTTAGGTCGGTAGCTCGCATGAGATCCCGGTGGAGACAGTCCAGGCGGAGAGTACACTTGAGCAACCGGAGGTTGCTGGCCCGACGAGCCCATTAAGAAGCTGTCAGAGTACAAGCGTTGCTGAGAATATGAGGGAGTACGAACTTCAGGCACACCGTTAGGGCTGTCATATACAGCTGCAGAAGGCTCAAGATAGGGGGGGAAAAGAGCTTCGGGCCTACCGAAAATAGCCGCCGGGTTAGCTGCGGCAGGGCCCATACTACCCTGAACAGAACCGCTCTGTGTGACGAGATGAGCATCGCTGGGGCCTAGGATACTAGCACGGGCCCCCATCTTCTTCTCCCTGTTAGTTCCTTTGGCCTCAAGCTGTTTCAAAAGACGACGTTGATCCCCCAAAGCGTTGCCTCGTTTTCCCAGAATGACCCACCGTGCTTTGACCTTTGATCTCCGGGTTGCAATCGTAGGGTCGCTTGGGTCTATTGATTCCAACTGATCGATAAGGCTGGATTCCTCATTGATAGAATTTTGCTCTCGAGCGATGCTGTAATGTTCAACGCTCAAAAAGCTACGTCGAGTAACAGTATCATGGGCCTGTTCATATCAGCACGTTCTCGATTGATTTCAAGAGCCTTGAGAGGATACTCACGGCTTCTGCTGTTGTTTGAGCCCTAGCTTTGGCTGTAGGTCTCCTCAATAGGGCCATGGGTTGAGGCTGCAGTCTAGGCTGCGATTGGATTGATACGGAGGGCAAAGAGTGACTGCTGCTGATGGGTATCTTCTGCAGTACTTGTAGTTTCTGCAAAGCTTGCTGTATGATATCCTGAGCGGATTGAATAGCATCATGGGAAGTGATTTGGAGAGTCTGTCGAGGTGGATGAGATACTCGAGATCTTAAGCGAGCCAACTGTTGGACTTGTTGCACAATGTCTCCCGGCGGTGGCGGTGGCGATGGCATATTTTCCTTGATAACTTCCTGGATAATTCGTTCGACCTGCTGGGAGATATCTGGTAGCTCTTGGTCTTTTGGATTGTCGTTGTCCTCCTGCAAATTCCTTGAATGTGCATTTGCCGCTTCATCCCGCAACTCCCGCAAGAATCCCGTTGCTTCGTGTGCCTGTTGGATAATTTGTAGCTGCTCAGGAGTAGGACCGTAGCTATAGACTCTCGTCATTTTCTGTATTGAAATAGATTAGTATGTGCCAACTGAGAGGGGTGCAAGGGTGTACGAAGAGAAGTGAAACACACTTTTCCATCAGTGTGAAGCTCATGGATGAGCTTTCCCTCCCATACCTTGACTGCCTCTCCAGGCATAACGGTAATTCCACCGGGAGGGAGCTGGCTCATAGACAGAACGGCCTCAGTTGAGACATCTTCCATGAGCGACGGAGACAAGGTGGGAATGCCACCTGTAGCAGAGGCCACGCCTCCCACGGCTGGAGATATAACGTCGCTCAGGGAGACATCCACCTGGCTTGAAGCTGCATCCACAGGTGAAGCCAGGTCAGCAAGTGTATTGCCGTGCTCGACCAAAGTCTTGCCGTCGATGGTGGCTTGCCTATCAACCATGGTCTCTCCAGCCGCAAGCAACGGCGGAGATGGGATTTCGTCCGCAGGCTTGGGCAGCTCACCTGGACCCCGATCCATCGTCGACGACATCGCTGCTCGCTACGCTGCAGACTCAATTCTGCAGCTCGATGCCGACGAGCTGGAAATGATTCCTGGTTTTGTAGTGGTAGTTCAAAGTGAATGGTTGTTGGGAAAAGGAAGATGCGTGGGGAAGCCAAATTGGAGCTGAAGTTGAGTGATGGGCGGACCAAACCCCATCTTGCCTATTTGACTGAACTGACTCTTACTCCCACTTCCGATCCGGCAGTCGCGTCCAAGTAGCAATGTGGTCCAGTCCGGCACACCCCATCAATCACCCGCGGAACGTATAAATATATCTCGTGTAAATAAGGAAATTTCAGTATACAATTACAACAAAGAATGCATAGAGCATTAAAGAGATGAAATATAAAATACTTAGCACAGATTGCCTAGCTACTGGGGCCCTGCCCTGATCCTATCTTCCCGTGGCATGTCCCGTGTGTTTTCAAGATTTCCGAAGACGCCAAGTATCGGAAAGACAGATATCATACCCATATCTTCGGCGGCCTCAATATTGAATTCCAGTTGCGCAATGTTCGACATCGCACCCGCACAGATTCAGAACGAACATTGAAGAACAATCGGGCTGATTTCCCGACATGGTGAATTGCGGAAGTTTGTCCCAAAGTTGAAGTATAGTTTGTGAGTCCACTTGTTGGGACACGAAGCGAGAAATTTCGATTCCACGCGCAAAACGTTAAATGTGAGAGGCAGATCAATGAAACAGAGTGGAGAATTTCTGTCACGAAGAAGCATTCAGGTTGATTGTACAAAAGGTCGAAATCTACACGCGTTCAAATGCAGTTCCCGAAATGTGGCTTGCGGGCAATCGAGCAAACCATCCATTCTTTCCTTCTAGACGCCGCACCAAACACCCTTCCGTTTCGCCGTATGTCCATGTCACCGTTTATTTTCCTGGGTTAGCAGCAACGAAAGCAACACCCTTCTCGATGTTCTAGTGAAAAGTTAGCCGTTCTAGCTTGGAAGCTAGAAAGTTGGAGTACATACCTTCTTCAAGTCCGCCAAGCAAGCATCCAAAAGCTTCTGCTCCTCCGCAGAAACCTTGCCAACCTCCTTGATCTCCTCAACACCCTTGGGGCCCAAAAGGACCTTGCTGGCAAAGAAGTCAACACCTTGGTCCTTGTACAATGGGCTGTCCACGAAGGTTGGCTCGACAACACCCTTCTCGCCTTGCGCAGCCTTCAACAAGCTCTCGGCGAAACGAGCACCAGCCATTGCCATTGAGAGAGTAGCAGATCCGGCACCATCCTTGGCCTGGACGACCTCGTCACCTCCGAATTGGACGCGCTTCAACAGGTTGGCGTCACCAACGAGATCGGCGTGCTTGGATTGCGATAGTAGGGGGACGATGGTGACACCGGAGTGACCACCGACAACGGTGATGTTCTCATCGGCAGGGTCGGTGCCCTTGATCTCAGAGACGAACCGAGAAGCACGGACAACATCGAGAGTCGTGACACCAAACAGACGCTTGGGGTTGTAGACTCCACGGGCTTTGAAGATCTCGGCAACGATCGGAACGGTGCTGTTGACTGGGTTAGAGATGACGAGAATGTTGGCATCAGGGGCGTTTTCGGCAACGGCCTTAGCGAGATCGCGGACGATAGAGGCGTTGGTGTTGAAAAGATCGTCACGGGTCATTCCTGGCTTACGGGGGACACCGGCGGGAATGAGGACAATCTCAGCGCCCTTGAGGGCGCCGGCGAGACCGGTTGGGGACGCATCGTATCCGGTGACCTTGCTCTTGGTGTTGATATGGGCGACATCAGCAGCGACACCTAGAAACGTCAGTTGCAGATTCGGCAGATCGTATGTATTCTATGTGCCCAAGTAGTCCCACGAAGCTCATAGCTCTCTCCCTTGTCCTTGAATGACGAGTATTCTGACGTACCTGGTGCCAAGCGGATATCGTAGAGAGCGAGGTCGGTGACGCGGGGGTTGAGCTTCAAGAGAAGAGACAGAGGTTGTCCGATTCCACCGGCAGCTCCCAAGACAGCGACTTTAGACAACTGGCAAATGTGTTTTAGCGATTGTTCGACTCAAGAAAATCATCTCCACCGGTCAACCGAGGCAGCACATTGCGCAGTCGGCCGCTATTCAAGCATCTGCAATATCTTCTCCAGTCCCAATAATCGACAGGCTCTCTTTTTCAATGCCCAGATCTACCAACTCCAATTGACCGCCAACTGCAATTGACTATCTCATCCCTCGGTCCGCGGTCCTGGGGGATGGCTCGGGGGATCGGGCGAAAGTGCAACTCACGTCTCTGGCAGAAGCTGAGAAAGCTCTGGATTGGGCAGCGCCCGAAAATGCTCTTCGTGCAGCAAACATTATGTGATAGATATCGTATGACGCGTGAGGAGGGTGAGGTGTAGAAGAAGAGATAAGGAAGTTGTTGAGGGAGGGAGATTGATGGAAGGTTGAGGTTGAGAAAAAAGTTGGCGCGACGAGCCAAACGAACGGGCTAATATAATGCCGCAAGTCGGTCGCACCGGATAAATCGGCTTTGGATCACGTGGCTGGCAGACTATCTACGTCAGGTGGAGAGAGACCAAATAGATCGAAGTTCCTCCGCAGACGACTAGACGATCAATATCTCAAGAGAAACATTGCTTCTACAACTGCTCCAAATATAAACAAATAACCGTCCGCAAATCCCCGAGTTACCAGTGTCTGCTCTACACTACTCTGCTTGCAGCCATTCGAAATATGTCCAGCAAAGCGATCCCAAATCCAAGTAAAGCATTCCATTTCTGAAAGCATTGACCCGCCCATATCACTCAATATTTCCATGTTCAGTCAGCCCCCTATTGTTCATTTGTGGTCATTTTTTTGCCTTTAAGCATAGAGCGCATCTTTATATGAATCTGCTTGGATTACCTCAAGGTGCCGTCAGAAGACTCAGAGGACTCAGTCTCGATTGGCAGCACTACTCTATTGCAATGTTATCTTCTTTCCTATTTTCGTCCATCTCGTTCAAAACTTCAATTCTTTCTTTGCTCGGCTTCGTCGTGTGGAGGATTCAGAAGCCATACAAGTCTGAAGCCCCTCGTTGGAGGCCAAGACCAAAATCGCGCTGTCTGCTAGTGGCATCCCTGATATTTGACCCTTTTTGTACGGCATATAGCGAGAGCTGGGTACCTCTCGTCACGGCTTAGAGTGAGATCTCGTGGCTGCGCCCAGAGAGGCTGCTCTTCGTCTCACGAAAATCAGGAAGGGATTGGTGCTCGGTGTGGCCATGCCATTTTCTGGTACTATTTTTGCAATCATACACACGTGTCATTTCCCAAGCGCCGAGTGAGAGCTTTAAGATTTAATTTAGCTGTCTAGATAGACGGATATTTCATCTCGATGTCATTAGTTTGAAGTCATAAACCAGTTGTCCCTACCAATTCAAATCCTCCCTCCCCTCCCCACCAACATAAGCAAATCTATACCCAAGTAGCGAGATGAATATTGGTCCAGAACATAGGATCCCTGATCGGTACTCTTGCAGATCCAAAGTCGAAAGTGGAAACTAGAAAGTTTCAAAGTCAGCCTCAATTCTGCGAGCGCGCGCGAGAGAGAAGGAAAGTCTTCTTCTCGGCTCGGCGAAGGGTGGAGGACATACGAGCATCGCGCGCAGCAGCCGGCATGCTCTCCCACGCAACGAGCGGCTGCTGGCCACCATCCAGTGACAGAGAGGTCAACCTCAGAGCATGGTTGACCGGCCAAAAATCGCTGGTGTACTCGACCCGCACCGAGGTGTCGCTGAAAGTTATGCCTGAGGTGACACAGTCATACCGGCCGTGTGCCGAGGGACAAACGGCGCGTACGTCGGCCGCGGTGGTAGAGTTCTCGGATGGCAGATAGATGATGACGCTCTCCCAATCATTGCGGTGGCCGAACCAGGGGCTGGGCTCGTCTTTGGGGAAGTACCTACGAGAATCTCGCATTAGCAGTCTGGATTGGATAAGCAGCACATGAGGGGGAAGGGGAGCCTTACCAGGCGTATACCAGCACAATGTTTCCACCATAATTGGCAGAGCGGACGTAAACCTGCCCCGTGCTGTGGCTGCAACCACCGTTCGCGCTGCCGGTCGTGTCGAGCCCACCGCTGCGTCGGGTGTGTTAGCACTCCGCTCTTCTCTTGACTTCGGCAATGGGGAGAAGGAGGATTCGAACATACCCCACGTTCCCATCAGCGTCCACAGCAGGGAACGGCACGCAGCCGCCCGCAATCATGAGGATGGGCTGGTAGCGTCGGTACAAATCGCCCATGGGCCCACTCGGCACCGTCTCCGGGAGGCTAACGACTGCATCGTGCGCAAGAACCGCGCGCTTGTTGAGCTCTGCAATGGGTGAGGCAACGACAGCGGAAGCTAAAGCCAGGGCTTTGACAAGGGTAGAGAAGGCGGCCATGCTGATCGAGAACCATTCGCAGAGGGAGATGGAGCTTGAATGCGGAGACTCTTATCAGCCACTGGGAAGGAAGGAGGTTATATAATTCCTCTCCAGGGACCCAATGTCGAAACCAGGGGTTACATTACAGGTGTGGAGACGCTCTCGAAGATCACTGAATAACCCTTGTTTGACAAATCCGATATACGCTCGATTTCCCATGACAGAATTAGCTTTCCACACCCAATCTTGTTATCTAAAAAGGCTGCCTGCAACTTGGTTGACATATTGTCGATCGAACAGCGGATATCCCCGCTCGCAAAATCTTAAATACAAACTAACATGACGACGATTGGGGACCCAACGAAAGCATGTCCCTCTCTTCCGGCCCCATGGGTTTGTTTGGGTTTTCGGCACTCGAGGATAAGCAGCAGCATCTACACTCTATCTGTGTCCCCATTCCCAAGGATAAATCTAGTCCAACCAATCGCTGTACATATTCCCAATCTAAATGTACTTCTCGCTAAGCCTCCCATACTTACCTACTAGGCCGACTGTTCGTTCCCCATCATACATAGCTGTACAAGTAAAATTACCTTCAGTCCGTACGACGCTGTTGGAACGTAGTCACAAATTGCTTCTACCACCTACAACTGTAACCATAACACGTCAATTTTCTTTTTGTATTCCTTCCAACCACCACCTACCCTGGTCACTTCTCAGACAAGGCGCTCCGAGGGAAATAAGAAGAAAGGTGTGCATGTACCGCAATTGAGCCCCAGGATCCACGTGGAACCTTCCGACGACAGCCAAGGCCAGAAATAAGAAACTGGGGAAATAGAATTGCGAGCGCCCGGTAAGTAAGGTACTCTTTAAATCTCCGGAGTTGACACTGCGCCTAAAATTAGAAACAACCGAGAGAAAAATGCGACTGCGTGTTTGGGAATGATGATTTATTTATACCTACTCTACTCTGATCAGTCCGATCGATGAATGGGGGCCTACCTAAGCGAGCCGACGATTACCGGTACTCTACCCTATTGTCCCTCTGTCGTCTCTCTGTCTTGTGAAGAATAAAAATTTGATGAAAGGAAAGGGCCTATCTTGAGAGAATTAAAGTCGGTACTTTTAAGCACGAACATACGTTCTCTTCTTTTTCTTTCTTCGAGACCGCGTCCTCGTCCTCGTTTTTCATTTCTCGTTTTTCGTTTTTCGGTCTTGCCTATGTAGTTGTTGCATTGGTATATAAATCAGGTACCCGCCCAGTATCAAATTGATAGAGAGCGGAAATTCATGGAGAGATATTTATAGAGAGTCCGTGGTACAGTTAGTTGTACAACGTGGTACCCCCCCTTGAATCAAAAGCCAGCATCGCAAGGGTGGCACGAGCCAGAACACAGCAAAAGTCTATCTATCCGTGCCAACACCCTTGGGAAGCTGCCCTCTACTGTACCGGTAGTTAAGTATGGACAGGGTAAATAAACATGAGACATGAAACATAGGGTGGTATACCGGTAGTGCAATGTGGTGTTGTTTTAACGTCTGCTGCGGGTCCTAAATAGGAGTCCGGTTTACCGCCTCTTCGAAGGTATAATAACGTGCCGGCGTCAGATCCCGACCTAAAAACTCTGCAAAGGAAGGCAGTCTTCATGTCTCAAATGGTATTTTAGATATGAAGTCTATCTATATCGATAGGACTAAAATCATGAAGGGAAAAGGGATCGAATCGATATAGAATCTCGGGTCTTAAAATCCCGCGGTATTACAGCTTTAATATATCTGTGTTTTTTTAAATAGCAACTCGGTATTGCTAGTTCAAGTGCTGCGGTCGCCTTTTACTGCGACTTACTGTCAGCAGCTTGATATACTATCTCTCCGATTATTTAGTCGAGTATTCGATCAAAACCCTTTTTGTTTTCTCTTTATCCGACTTTTTATATCCGTAATCGATGATAATTATAAGCCTGCCTGGCAAGGGCACAACGGTCTACCTACTGCCTCAGGCATTAATTTAGGCGAGGGCTACTAAGACGTGTCTATGTACAGTAACGGTATCTCCTTGTTCAGCGGTAGCCACAGGCGCACGCTGCCATTAACTATTTATAATAAACTCCAGATAAGCACTTAATCGCATGCGGTTTTCGTACTTAAGCTCTTCGCTTCGCTAAGCGTAGCCGAAAGAGCTCCGGCACTACGAAAACTCAGATGTGATTCAACTAACTATTCTTAGTTGTTCTGTTGAAACCTGATAGGTAGCTAAACGGCTTTACTACTGGGTGACACGGGCCAAAAAAGGCATAATGACTGAAAAAGCTTCTCAGGTAGCTACCGGTAGCTATTCTGCTATACATAGAACGCTACTTACTTAGTCAGCTTACCTGACTAAGCCTTCTCACTCCTGATCAAGTCTCGAATATTGAAGAGGAGCTGGACAGGCAATCTATTCCCGATACGAAAGAAATCCATACTATCAATCGGGAGCTGAAGTCTTATGCCGACTCCAGCGACTTACCGCTGGACTACGATTGAGCTGGCTAGAACTCCGATATATCGCAAGGAACTTCAGCTTAGGACCCGTACTCACTAGGAAATTTACGGAGGTTCCGTAGATCGAAGATGAGGCAGCGTAAAGAAGCTGTCTCCGAATCAGAGTCCTCCGAATTTAATCCGATCGAGCACTTTTAATAGCATCTTGAAAAGAGAAGCCTTGTCAAACAACCTTCGACGTTGCAATCGATAAACCGAATTTAAAATATATAGAGCACAAGACAAAGAATTGTTTGCAGGCTAAGTAAGAGACGCTAAATCAACTGTTGTTCGATGATTTGTATTATAGTATGCCGCCGGATAAGATTAAAGCTTGAATCGCGGCTGAAAGCTAGCATACTAATTACTAACGTCCCTGCGCATTTGAATGATTAGTTTAAAAATTAGAAAGAGTAAAACGAATCTGAGGAATCGAATAATAATTTGTTTATTTAATTTAGATTCATAGTTATTGCGCGATGAAAAAGTAGTAGCTGAATGTCCAACATTGATTTGAGTGTTTTCGCCTAAGTGGCCAACAGCAGTTGCCTAGTACTGTAGCTCTCGCTCCAACGACGCGCGGATGACTGACTCCAATAGGACCTTCGCTCATCCGTTATAGTCCTACCGTTCCCAGTCTGTAAGAGCCACTCAGTCTCCGTCATGCGAGCTTGTCGGTGGATAGGTCGTCCCACGTCAGTCCCTTGATCCGGGCAACTCGGCAGACGAGAGAAGCGTCCTTCCCAGCTCTTGTTTGGTAAGCACCTCCTCGACTTGAAGAAATTTATTGCTCCCAGCACCTTCACATCCATCGCTCTACCATTGTTAGCAGCAATATCGCAAATTCTAGCTTTCCGGTTGCACCCATTGCGCTATTTCGCAGTAAGTGATTGACGCCAGTAAGAAGTGTGTCTAAAACTCGGCTGATCTCAAGCGCACTCTTGCCTACCTAATACAATAAAGAGAAGATGACGGACAAGGGCCTGCGATAAAATTCGAGGCACATAATCCGGGAATATTTAGTGAGGCGCGTGCGATGATGGGAACTTCACCAAGAAATGAGCCTGCGACTACACGACAACAGCGCCAGGCTTTCATTCGCGCCTTCCGTCATGAGCTAACCTTCCACCCCTTAGATAGCCAGTCTACTTCCATCTGTTTCCAGTCCGCTCTTCGGTACATGAGCCTGGGGATATAAAGATTGGTAGCAGCCAGGTCTGTCGATAAGGTTACATATATATCACCTCTGGCGGCCGGCTCGTTCGGGAATTTTCGCAAACAAAAACGGACGTCTTGGCACCAACATAAATCCAGACCTATTCTCTCAAGATGTTCGAGATGCTGTCGGAAATCGCAAAACAGCCCCCTTCCTTCTACTCTTGATCCTCCTCTTTCTAAGTCACGCCCGCAGAGTAATTCCGAGAAAACTTGGGCTCGGATCAATATCATGGCATTTGCTGTGTATTGCACTCTGATCACCATCTGCTCTGAGCTATGTTGTATAGAGGAAGTGGCGCAGTATAGGCAAGCTTTGAAAAAGGGAGATATTCCCAAGAAATACCGGATAAGTTTGTCAGGGACAGGTCCCAGAATTGAGAGATGAGAATGTGATATGGCGATCGAGGTCACTCGGCGAAAGGAATATTGTGGACGACTGGTAGACTGAACCATACATGCGTTGCTGGCGTCCAAGTCGCCGAACTTGCCGGCATGCGTTTGGAGTAGCGCTTTCCACCGCTCTTGAATGATACGATGGTCAGCAAGTTTTCAGTTTCAGTGCGTCAATCATCGGCGTCCGGTGTGAGTATGATCGAACCGCGGCGGCAGGTATGACCACAGATGGGTTTCCCGCCAGATCAGGCATACCGGGTCTTTTCAATTTCAAAATGTATTTCGTTCCAACTCACCAGCTAACTAAGTGGCACGTCTCTCGCGCGCTTTCTACGAATTCCCAAGTAATGCTTGCTCTCTATATGATATCGGTGTAGATCGCTCAGCGATCTCCCCAAGTTTTTTCTACGCAGTATCGTGCGTGGCATCGAGCCGGCCAGAGCGAGCAAGTGCTTGAGTCATAAGTATACCGTCATGATGTCCAGTCTGCTGTACTATATCCGCGTCATAGCTACTGTTCGAACACCCTCCGTGATCAAGAGGGCTTGAGGACGAGCTACTGCGACATCCGGGCTGTTGACACATATGTATATATATATATATATATATATATATATATATTTATTTTTCTTAATATAATGCTCTAATCACCACAGTCTATAATGTCCTCTGGTCTTTGAGCATCAAAATCCTTAGCCTTTCGCAATTTCTGGCTGCATTGCTAGCGGCCGTGTATACTGAATCCTGATTAATCTTGAGACTATCCTCCAGTCGTTTCACAATCCTGCTGATCGCTCGCTCGCCAGGTGAAATCCTCCCACAAGCAGAGAGGGAGGGTACTAGGAATCGAATTCCGAGTTCGAGCCCAGAGACAACGATTACCAAGCAAAGACCATCCCTCGTACCCCACAGCTCTCTCTACTGACAGCAAGCAGGCCTCACCATGCTTCTCCAGCGTGCAGCAGAAGAGTTCCGAGGTTGGAAAAGCCAGCCCGTGTCGTCCGTCTCCCGGCTCGATTCAAGCTTTTAGATTGTGATCGATTTGGCTTTCTGCCTCCATGTCGAACGGTAGCATGAACCAAGCCAGGCCTTATGGAGGCACCGGATTTCTTCACCCTGGGCGGCGTCTCTCCTCTTCTCAAGTGCGATGCGGAGTGGCCCATGAACTACCACGTCTTGGCACTCACCAGCGCCGTGGGTGGCAAGCAAGCCGCTGATCGCGTGGGAGAGCTTGCCCGCTGGCTGCTGCGAGTCGCGCGCTGGCGACGGCCGACTTTGGCGCTGCGATTGTGCCGTTTACGGATGACACTTTCTGGAAAAATATTTGGGCTGCTAGGTGTGGTAAGAGAGAGAGAGAGTGTGTGCACCCGAGAAAAAGAAGAGGTGAGGAAGAAGAGAAGAAGGTACATGATGATAAGAAATAATCGTCGAGGACCTTGAATTTCATTTGTATAATGACCGGATTTTCTGTTTTGATTTTCATGGCAACCCGACGATTATTGGGGCAGCAACCGGAAGGGAGAAGGGGAAGAGGAGGAAGGGAAAAGCATGATTCATGAGAAGTAATGCACATGGAGATCAGGCGTCCGACTGTTACGGCCTTACAATCGATGTACATTATATCTATTTCATTTCATTGGTATAAGGGCTTGCTTGGATACCTCCAACATACCAAAGAATGATCCACGATTTCAAATGAGATGCATCTCAGCCCATTTCTCAAAGAAAAGAAAAGAAAAGAAAAGAAAAGAAAAGAAAAAGAAGAAGAAAAAGAAGAAGAAAGAAAAAAAAAAGGAAAAAAAAAAGGAGGAAGGTGCAATAAAGAAGACAAAGTCTCAACCCGCAGGCAATCACAGTACAAGCAAGCTCCTCCCTTGACCATGAAGGGGGGAAAACAAATAGAACAACAAAAGCTTCATTCCGTGTGGCATTGCAAGATCCCACAGCACGTACCGAAATCCCGAGTCCGAAGTTCGAACCCTTCCCGAATCTAAAGCGACCTACCTAGGTACCCAATACAAATATTAGCAGGCGGCGTTACTACCTACCTCTCATCCTTAATATCTACCTACCTATACCTACCTACTTACCTACCTACCTGCCCACCTACTTCGATCTACTTCAGTCACAAAATCTCCCCGTTATACCCGACTATGTCCTCCACATCCACATCCACATCCACATCCACATCCACACCCACCACTCCACGACTCAGCAACAGAAGGGCTCGTTCGCAGCAAGGGGAACCGTCTCGATAGGTACCTATCTATCGGTCTGCGACATCATATCTATCCCTCTGCAATAAACCAAGACCAAAACCTACCCTCGAAGCCCGAGCCCGAGCCCGAGCCCGAGCTTGAGCCCGAGCCCGACCCCGAGCCCAACACGCTAATGCCCCCGTGGCACCGATCGAGCCCATGTTTTCACATGTACCCTGAGACTGTGCAATACAATACAATTGAATTTGGATTGCAATTCTGAAGAGTCTATAAGTAAGTGATCTATCTTCTAGTCTGCAAGAACCAGCATGATCACGATGTGCAGCGCAGCAAAACGCCGGTGACAATCCCCAATGCGAAAGACCCCGTCCAACAGATAACACTTTTCCCACCACACAGCCCCTCGGTGTATTGGTGCGTCTACTCGTCCTCGTCGGCTGCAGAAGAAAAGTTAGCACGTGATCTCGGGCCAGGAAATGGACATGGGCATTGTTACAGAAGACCTGTGAAAAAGATAATTAGCAAAAGGTTTCGGTCAAGAGAGATGGACCAGCCTACCTCTTCACCCCGCTTTCTTCTGGCCATTCTGTCCTTCTTCTTCTTGCGAAGCTCGGCACTGTGGGTTTGTCAACATCGACGTCTCGCACGTCAGCGCCAAGGAGACTCACGATGTCAATTTCTTCTGTAAGATATGTCAGCATTGATTCATGGGTGGGAATCGGGATAGCTACGTACTGCTTTCTTCGTAGACACGATCTTGTTGCCCATGGCATCAACTGGTGGTTTGGTCAGCATTGAACTATGTGGCACTACATCATCGCAAGATTATAGCCTACATTTGTCTTCCTGGTAGGGCATTAGCAAATGGTCAACGCTCATATAGGTGAAGAATGCTTACCTCCTCATCGTCGTCACCCTTTAGTCTTGGACCAGCACCTTGTCCGCTGACCCAGTTGTGGCCGGAAGGAGTCATCTTTCCGTCGACAACGGCCCAGACTTCCTCGGTCAAGTTCTGGGTGAACTCTTTGGAGTGAGTAATGATGATCACACCACCCTCAAATGTCTTGATGGCCTTGGAGAGGGCTCCAAGGGAATCACGATCGAGGTAGTTGGTAGGTTCATCGAGAACGATCAAGTGAGGGCGTTGCCACGAGCATGCAGCGAGAACGACCTTGACACGTTGTCCACCGGACAGACCCAACATGCGAGAGTGGGAGATCAGCTCGGCATCGAGACCGAAGTTGGCACCGTGAGCCTCAATCTCCTTTCGGACCAGAGGTCTGAATTGACCACTGGCGAGAGCCTCCTTCTGATCAACTTCAGCAACCATCTTTTGATGGGAAGCCAAGATCTCGGTACGAGGGATCCAGGCGTTGTCGGCAGTCATCATGGGAACCCATCGCTCATTCTTCATGCCAACGTTCTCTCCGAGAGCGAACGAACACTCGTACTCGTAGGAGTTCTTGAACTTGCGGCGAGAGTGGATACCAATGACACGTCGTTGGGTTCCCTCAATCCTGTAGATCTTGTCCATCGCCTTCTCGTCCTCATCCGTAACAATCTTGTTGGCGCGGTCCATGGTCTCACGATCCTCACCCGTCTGGAAACGCCATTGGATGTACTCAGAAGGCGTCTTCTCCAAGTGGTGGTCGATGTGAGCGAAGGCGTGCTGCTTGATGTAGGCGATACGGATGTTCTCGTGGGTGTAGACGTCACCGGAGGTGGGGATCAGCTCACCGGTCAAGACGTTGATCAGAGTGGACTTTCCAGCACCGTTGGGACCAATGACGGCAATACGGGAACCGAGCGAGCATTGGAAAGTAATGTCGGAAATCTGGGGCTTTGGTGTACCGGGGTACTGGAAGGACATCTTGGACACCCGAACGATAGCCTTGGCCTTAGTCTTGACACCCTCCAGGAAACCGGGCTCGGGGAACTTGAACGCCATATCAGAAGCCTCAAGCTCGAAGTAAGACTTGGCAGAGGGGCACTTTTTGACGAACTCGGTGATGTTACCGCGGTAACGCTTGAGCTTGAACCGCTCGTAGTTGATGATGTGTTGGCATACGTTGTTGAGGAAACCCGTGTCGTGGGAAACGATGATGGATGTGCAGGGGGAGGCTATCAAGTAGTCCTCGAGCCACTTGACGTTCTTGACATCCAGATGGTTCGTGGGCTCATCGAGCAGGAGAATGTCAGGCGCCTCAAAGACGGCACGGGCCAGAGCCAACTTCATCTTCCAGCCTCCGGAGAGGGCCGTGATCAAGTTGTTGATCATAGCATCGGTGAAACCGAACTCGTCCAACCGCTTGATCACATCCTCGCGGGTGGTCTCGACACCGACCTCCTTCAACTTCTTCATGGTCCAGTCGATGGTGGTCTGCTCCGTATCCGCTGAATCGAGATCGTGCTCGACGAACACCGTCTTGACCTCGCTCTTCTTGGGGAAACCCTCGACTTGCTCGTTGTTGATGGCGCGCATCAGGGTCGACTTTCCGGAACCGTTAGGACCGCAGAGACCGTATCGCTGACCGCGCTTCAAGCGGAGATGGGTCTGGTTCAGGAGGATCTTGGCACCGTAGGCCAAGTTGAACGTGCAGTTGCAGAGGTCCTCTCCCTCCTCGTCATCAGCCTCCTCGGCATCCTCCGCCTCGGCGAGAGGGGACGCCTTCTTGCGGAGGGCGTCCACGATGGCTTGGGCCTCACCTTCTGGGATGATGGCGGCAATGTACGGCTTGATGGTGGTCGTCCAGCTTTGGGTATCGGCATCCTTCTCGTCAATCAGCTGACCGGCCAGAGCAGCCGTGAATTCCAGGATTGGCTCGAATTTGCTGATGACAGCCTTGTGCTTGGGCTCCAGGATCGACTTGAGGATGGCGAGAACGGTGGCGACGTCCCCAGCGTGGGAGGCCTCGGGGATCTTGCCGTTCACCACGTTTCCGACCCGGACCAGGGTATCCAGACCTTGCTTGGTCTTCTCACGGGCCTCGGGATCGGCCAAGTTCTCGTAGTTCTTGGTGAGTCCGGGCATCAGCTTGGGCAGGAAAGCCGCAACGATGTTGGGATCCTCGACCAGCTTGCACATGTTGTCGACAATCACGGCCGACTTTCGCTTGATGGCCGTCTCACGCTCGGCCAGACCACGATCCAGGAGAGGCACCATGATGGCCAGAGTGGGCTCGTGGACGTCGGTGACGAAAGTCGTGGCGCCGAGCAAGTGAATGGTCTCGGGGACGTTCTCGGGCTTGGCGATACACTTGATCAACTCGGGAATGAAACGGTCGATGTCCTTGTTGACGATCAGAGCGCAGACCTTCTCCATGGTGCCGTACGCCATCTTCTTCACCTCGGGCTTTGTGTCCCACATGGATTCGGAGACGACTGGGATCAGATCCGGGACGCGGAGAGCGAGCTGGGTCGGGGCGGACACGACGAGGGCCTCGATGCAAGTGAGACCGGTGATCTTTTCTTGCCACTTCTGGGCGGTGAGGATCGAGTTGATGATCGGGGGGAGGAGGGCCTTCACACCGTTGGCGTTAACGGCATTGACGATGGCGAGAGCTGCAGCCTGGGCCGCGTTCTTGACGGGGACCATCTTGTCGCCCACGGCGGCGAGGACGGATGGGAGGAGGACCACCAAGTATGGCTCGACGGACGCCGAGGTGTCGGCATGCTCCGCAATGGCCTGGATGGCATTGAGAGCGCGCTCGCGGACGTTGGCATCCTTCTTGTTGGCGAGTTGCTTCTTGAGGGATTCGACGGTCCTGTTGTTGTTGTAGTTGTTGCGGTCAGCGTTTGTGTCGATCTGTGGCAGGGCCGCAGCGCTGGCTGCCGACAAGGCGACGAAGCAGGGCGCCGAACAGGAATCCGCAGAGCATCACTCGTTCGACTGTGGGAGGGCATAGAAAGATGGGAAGGGGGAAAGGGAGAGGGAGAGGGAGAGGGAGCGGGAGCGGGAGAGGGAGAGGGCACTCACTTGACGGGGGCATCGTTCTCCTCGATGGGGGAGTTGATGAAGACGGCTAAATTATGAGTGGCGGCGTTGATGTCTTCCTGGGCCTTGGAGATGGAGAGCTTTGCCATCAGTTCATCCAGAACCTTGAGGCTTTCCTTATTCTCCTTGGTAGACATGCTTGCGGTTGCTGAAGAATCGGTGACAGCGACGGGCATGTTATGGTTGGGAGAGGAGGAGGAGGAGGAGGTGGAGGAGGAGGAGGAAGATGGGAGATATGGGGGAGTTCAGGCGAGGGGCGAACTTAGAAATTTCAAACCCTTAGCGCAATCTGTCGCGAAGTGCCCCGCTATCGAGCTATCGATTGGTCCAGAGACGTAGCGAGGTGGAGCGATCCGGGGCGGTATGGAGCGTGTGTGGGTCTGGATGGGATTTTTCGACTTTTTCTCGAATTTTTTCTTTATTTTTATTTTTGATTTTTGATTTACTATTTTGTCTATTTTCTCTTAGTAATTATTATTTTATTTTTTTGTTACTTATTTATCAATATATATATATATATATATATATATATA